AAGTTTAATGCAGGAGTCTATTCCCTCTAATATATACATAATATATTTTAATGTATCAAATTGGGGAATTTTAAAAATTATATAACACAATATACTTTAGTTTAAGATTAATATATAATTCTTATTATGGATAGTTAATATAAATTAATTTAATGTATGTTATTTTAGTAATTAATATTTTTTTTAAACTTTTAATTAACGATAGAAATTTTTAAATAGATTGCTCTAAGTAAGACTATACTGAAACCTGATGCTGTTCCTATTTTTGGAGTAAAAATTCCTATTAAAACATATTCTAGGATACCCACATCAACTACAGTTAAGGTAAATCTATTTTTTCTTATATAACCCTGTAAAGGAGAAGACCTACTACACTTACCACATTATTATATTTTTATTGTGTCTTCTGGATCAATATAGTATTTTTAACTATAAACTGCTGACCACCCATATAATTTAACATTTGATGAATCATCTTGTACATCAGTTTATTATTGTAGTCAGTGACAACAAATTCATTTTTAAAGGATTTTGCAGGAATTAAATATAAATGTAGTTCATTCCAAACATAAGTTACGTCTTTAAATTTAATAAATTAACTTCTTGTATTATTTATAATATTATAGTTAATGATTTAAGATCTTATAGATCTACAAATCTAAATAGCTTTCAAAAAATTATGGTTTATATTTTTATAACATAACAGTTTAAATCTTTATGATTCAGGAATCTAGTAATGTTGTAAAACCAATTGAAATTGGTCCTAGAACTGATGAACTAATAAGCCAAGAATTTTGTGAAGAGTTAAATGACTTAAAGGTATAATTATTTTACTTAGATAGTATTTATTAATATAATAGTTATTAAGTTATTAATTAACATATTATTAGAAAAGTATAGGTACATATAACAAGATTAACATATATTCCAATCAATTAGGTGTGATAGTAACTGTGTTAAGTATTAACTTGTATCAAGTGCATAAATTATTTCTTTTATTAGGAAAATGATGCTAGTAAATTTGGACCCAAAAAACTTGTTTTTTCAAACAATTATGAGCCATATGATAATCTGTTAGCATACAGTTTGCCCAGTAATTTATGCTTAACACTATTCGAAAATGAAACAAAAATATGTATTCCCAGTTCTTGGAATAAAATTTTGCCACAAAATAGTCCAAATACAACTATTTTTTGTGAAGTATTAACAAATTTAAAAGAACCAGCAGTGCCTGTATTTGGAAAAACAGTAGCTGTAAATGAAAAATCATTTGTCAGTTTAAGTTATTTGGGGAAATCCATAAGTCTAGACCACTTTAATCAAATTAAAGAACTTAAAACCATCTTCGAATTAGAAAATCTAATTCAACAATTTGACAAACAAATAATGTGCAATGGTGTAAACATAAGAGAGAATCTTATAAGTCTTTTTATTCTCCACTTTCCAGACGTCTAATTCAATTTCAGTAGGTAACACAGGCAACATACATTTAATAAAGTTTTCTAAAAATGAAATACAATAGGTATTATATTATTATAATAATAATATCATATGTATAATGGTACTAGGTACTATTAATATATGGCCGTGTGTAGGCGATCACAGGGGAATGCTAAGTGGCGCTATCTACATTCATAGTATAGAGTTCTATACTATATAGTATGTCATTAATTTGTAAGTAGATAGCGCCACATAGCATTCCCCCGATCCCGTATACAATAACGGCACACGAAAATCGTCGAGTTGCCAGACCTATCTATATGGCCGTGTGTTGAAGTAATTAGTGAAAACTCCAAGTCATATTCAAAATGCTCTATTTCAAAGCTAACACATGACGATATTATGACATTTAAAAATAACTTATGTGCCCTTTCATCCAAAGTTGAACAAGATACATTTGTATTGACATTGATGGAAGTGAGAAAAGCCAAGAGAACAAACAATAAAAAAACTACAAGGAATGACCGTGTAGCTACAAAATATTTTATACCAAATGTAAACGGAGACATGATAAATGTATGTGCGCATGCCTTCAGTGATATTACATCTTTAACTAGAAGAAGGCTCAATATAATCTGTAAAAATTTTAATGTTCATCATCAAAGCCCAAAAGAAAAAAAGAGGAGGTTAACACTTAAATGCATCAGAAATCGAAGTGACATTGTCAATAGAGGATCATATTAAATCATTTAAGGGTAGAAAAAGTCACCACACCCGCAGAGAAACTGGTAGAAGTTATTTACAGCCAGGATTATCAATTAAATCTTTGTGGTCTCATTGGAAAATGAATAGATTGAAAGAAAATTGTTGCATTGCAAGTTTAAGTAAATACCAATTTATTTTTACATCTAAGTTCAACTTGAGTTTTGGCCACCCAAGGCAAGATATTTGTTCTTTTTGTGCCGAACAGTTAACAAAGATTCAAATTGAAAATGATGAAGATATGAAAATTGAACTTCATTTAGAATTAAAAGTACACCAAAGACGAGCAAAACGGTTTTTTGAACTATTGAAGGAAGAATCACCTGATAGTGTTTCTGTATCTTTTGATATGATGCAAACACAGCCTTTGCCTAAATTATCAGTTACTGAGGTATTTTATAGTAGGCAAGTATGGCTGTACAATTTAACTTTTGTCATAGCTGCACCAACTCAAAGCCCAGAAAACTGTTATTTATACACATGGACAGAATGTGAAAGTGGAAGGGGTCCAAATGAAATGTGTTCGTCACTCGTAGATTTTTTAGAAAATTTAGAAAGCCGACTGATGTTAAAGGAATCACCTCCCACAACCCTCAACTTGTTTTCAGACTCTTGTTCTGGCCAAAACAAAAACAAGTTCACCATGATAACATTACTCTATTACATAAACCACAAAACAACTATATTCAAACAAATTAATCATATATTCCCGGTAAGGGGGCATAGCTATATGCCACCAGATCGGGTATTTGGACGTATCGAACAAGTATTGAGAAAAAAAGAATCTATTATTTCTCCATCTCAATACTATGAGATTTTTAAGAGGTTTTGTACAGTAAAAGTGTATGGTCAGGACTTCTCCATCTATGATTATAAGAGTGTGGTAAAAAATCTGGTAAAAACCAAATTCGATTTTAAATCAACTGAACAGAAAATATATACATACACCAAGGGAGAAAAAACTGTTGGAGTTTCCAAAACCTATGGAGGAATACCAACAAAAATCGAAGTTGTTAAAAGAAACTCTAATCTTGGTACGTTGTTTAATAATCTTGTACAGCTACCAAAAACTAACCATGTAAAGTTACCTAAGCAAAACGATGTTAAAAAATTACTGAAGTACTTTAACATTCCTGAAGACTCTACACAGTTTTATGAAGATATCTTCAAAAATAGTGAAGATGTTGGAAATGAAGACCTAGAAAATGTATATGATGAAGATAATGATTGACTTTACTTGACACTACATTTTATATTTACCTAGTAGGTATTTTATATATAATATTAATTTTTATAAAATATGTTAACTATATTTTAACTTGTTCAAGTGTTCCTTTTATTTTATCCACTTTGTTAGGTATTTTTTTTTAATTTTAACATTTTAATTATTTTAATGTAAAATCTATTTTACTTATTCTTGTTATAAAATATGTTAACTATATTTTAACTTTTTACAAGTGTTCCTTTTATTTTATTCACTTTGTTATTTTAATCAATTAGGCCATTATTTCTTCGGCCTTGCCTCCTTTTTTTGGTGAGAGGTCCAGTATTACTAGACATCTTTTCAAAACTAAAAAAGAACTTTAAGAACTTAAAGATTTGGGTGAACAAGTAACAGCAACAGACAAATTAGATCATATTATTACTATTTTTTTATTTTACAATGTTTATATAAGTAATGATAAGAAAAATAGCTTATCACCAATCATCAAGATAATTTTTGATTGGTCCATTTTATGAAACTCTTTGAATTATTTGATAAGGTTAACGAAATTATCGGTAACACAAAAACCATTTTTGTTACGAAAAATTACGAATAACTGATATTACAGTATCGCATTCTCGTTAACGAAATTCGATACATAACGTGAAACTCAAAAAGCACTCGTTAACGTTGTTTGTCGATAACGGCTTATCGAGTTACAGAATACCGCTGCAGGTAACAGAACATTAATATTATTTTACTACCAAAATATTAGTCGGATGAATTATAATTTATATTTTAAAAATAATAAATATTAAATCACAAGTTAAAAATATATATAATATATATAAATTAAAAGTCTAAAAATATAATAAATATATAAATCTGAATAATTACCCCCAATATAGGGAGACTGCTGATACATTTTTTGTAATATTCAACTTATTTTATAGATGGTCTTATTGGTGAACATTATTTATTGGAAATAAAATGTCCATATTCTGCTCGTGATTCAAACGATGCCATTGAAGCAGTGAACAGTAAACTTGTAAGTGTTAAATTATATTTAATAATTATAATTTTAGTGGTATATACCAACAAAATATTGACGGTAAAATATCGTGACCAAAATATTATGTTATAATTAAATTGGTACTATATTTTATACTGACGATATTTTTCTCATGCGACATGCAATATATTGGTTTCGCGATTATATTTCTGTCGCGATATTTTGTCGATAATTACTTAGTAGGTACATTTGTATTTAGTTGTATAAGATATACTGTTAAATATCGTTAGATTTGAAGATAGCTTTAATTAGCCTTCGTGGCTTCGGAACATTATGTTGTGTGAAGTGTGAATGTAATTTTGATTTTGATTTTATTTTTAGCTACAATATTGCAAAGTTGAAGGGCAAGAAATTAAATTGAAAAAAGAACACGTATATTACTACCAAATACACGCTACTAAAAGAAAAAAATGCTTTTTTGTGATATACACTGCCAAATGGATCAGTATAGAAGAAATATACTTTGATGAATCATTTTGGGATTCTAAAATGTCTGAACCGCTACAAACGTGAGTCCTTTTTTTTAATAATTTGTACACTGAGTAATTAGATAATCTTTCACACGAATACTAGTGAATCATGATTTATCTATTTTACTTATAATATATTTATATTATATTTTATCTATTTTACTTATAATATATTTATATTATATTTTATCTATTTTACTTATAACATATTTATATTATATTTTATCTATTTTATTAACATATTATATTTTATACTTAAAGGTTTTATATGAAGTCTTTATTACACGAAATTATTGATCCACAATTCCCTAAAAGAATGCTGAAATCAGATATTCGAGAACCAGACCACATAAAAAAAAAATTATTATAAAAAAAAATTAATAAAATATTTGAATATAATTTAGACAAGTTGAATGGTTTTTTTTATTTTTTACTTTCTTAGATTACAACTTAGTAAGTGTAAATCAAATTCAAGTAGTTTATTTATGGCTGATTAAAATGTAAGAAGAGTTATACCGGGTGACGTATAAGACTCGATTTTCAATATTTCATTCTCAAAATCGATAAAATCGTTTTGAGTTTTCAGTTATTTTCACTTTTTTACTTATGAATAATTGGTATAAAAAAATTAAAATATTAAAAATCGAGTCTTATAAGTCACCCGATATAACTCCTCTACAACTTTTAATTAAGGTATTTTGCTCTAAAACCATTTACTTAGCCGTATTATTGGAACAAAATTGGAATGTTTTTGTACGGTATTTTCGTTGGTTTAGCGTCCTCAATGTTATACAGGGTGGGGCAAATCAAACAGTGCAGTTTTGAAAGGTTGGTACTTCACGTGTGGTGGGGATAGTACGATTATGGTGGTTTCATTTCGTCGGACAGGCCATGCCGTTATTAGTCATTACCATGGTTTGGTCTGGTGAAGCTGCGACAGATGTTCCCTACACATCTCGTCTCTCTGAGGGGTGATTTGAGGTGGCCTGCGCGCTCACCAGACTTGAGCATTTGTGATTTTTTCTTGTGGGGCTACCTGAAGGAATAGGTTTTTAAACATCGGCCTCACACGTTGGAAGAACTCAAAGACCGAATTAGGGAGGAAATTGGCGCTATACCAGTCGAAATGTGTCAAAATGCGGCAGAAAATTTCAGAAATCGCCTTCATCAGTGTATCGCTGCTGGCGGCCATCATCTTTCTGATGTCATTTTTAAAACTTGATATATAAAACGGCATGATGTACTGAAAAAAATTAAATAAATATAATTTCTGTAAGTTGCGTAGTTTTTTTTAATAGCCTTTCAAAACTGCACTGCCTGTTTCGCCCCACCTTGTATTATTGTCATTGAATAATAAAAATAATAATATTTATTATAATCAACGGTATTATGGTAATACATTCGAAAATATTAGTAAGTATAAAAATTAAATACATAATTGGTATGTCTATATTGATATTTTTACAAACTAAATGTAAATCGTAAGTTATTGTACGTAAAATATTGTTAACTCGAATACTTAAAATGTTTGTACAACAATTTGTACGGTAAAAACTAGATTTTCTAGCCAACATAATATTGTTATATACAAATAGGTATACAATTGGGCTGACAGCGGGTTTAATTAAAATATGGTTAGTGTGGGTATAAGAGCGAATATGGCGGCAATGCATTTACGTGTATGAATTTTATTTCGACGGGATATGCACGGACGAACGTTCATAAGATAATAAACAACGCTCCCGAACTCGACAACTCGTCGGTCGGTACGCGGCTTAAACGTCGCGTGCTTGCGGATCACGAAAACACCTAACAGCGCATTCTCTTGGTCATTGCATGGTTTCGTTTGCCCGTGTGGCGTCCTCTTAATAGATACTAGAGGTGGGAATTTTCGGTCGTTTGAATGATTCGAATCATTTGTATCGGATCAGTGTAGTGTAGTGATTCGGTCAAATGATTCGGTCATTTCAGTCATTTCGGTCTTCCATCAAATATCGTTCTTATCATTAGGAGAATCAATTTTCTCATGAAATATGAATCAGTCAATCAGTGACAGAGATTATTATTACGATAATGTAGTAGATTGTACTAATTGTAATTTGTAGCACGATTTATATCTTAAATCGTGGTTTGTTGTTATCATGAACCATGATAATAATCACGGTCTTGGATTATTAATTATTATTGTATATATTTTATATTATACTAATAAACTACCTATGATTACTATTATAGACTTGTGTTTTCTTTAATACCTTACAAAACCTTGGTATCATGAAAGTAGATCACCATTCACCGCAGATTATATTATATTATCTTTTAATCACGAAATGTAATTATTATTAACATGTAAATCAGTACAACTCAGTAGTCAATCTCAATAGTGACTATCAATAATCGATACTGTCTATTAGATAATAATTATTGTTTTCCCCGAGAATAGACTAGACTCCATGGACCATGATATAGTAGAATTATTATTATTATCATATTTTATACTTATTATGCATGGGTTGTACTATCTATTACCAAAAAATAAAACAAAATGATTCCACATTTTGTAATTGGTGCAAGAAAATTATAAATTATATATAATTTAGAATTAAACCGAATTTACAATATTGTGATCATAATATATTATATATTTTCAATAATTTTATAATTCAAATTTGGTTGTTTTATTTTTAAGTATTTCTGCCAACGCTCATTTTTCGTGCTCCCGACTATAGTAAATCATAAAAGTAAGTATAAGTAAAAAGTCTAGTATGACTGTATAAACAAATTGTGTTAAATAGTTGATATTATATACATCATAGGCGTAAACTGGAAGGGGCAACTGCGCCTCTTGATATTTTGTAAAATACATTTATTAGTTAATTTAGTCTCCAAGGATCTTTAAGTAAACGGTGTATTGTCATAAAATAATATTTGCCAAGTTACGCCCATGATATACATGGTATTATTTATCATATTTTCACTTATTTAATTATGTTAACATTTACAAAATAAAAATGCTAAACAATTTGTATTTAAATAGCTTTTAAAGTTATTAAATTGATCTTTTTTAAAAAATTTTTTTACAAAATACATATTATAATCTAAATTCCTGAATACAATTTTCAATTGTTGTTGACTTTAAAAATCAAACTAAATTTAAAAAAATACTTACTACTCAATTTAAAAATTAAATTATAAAATAGTTGCTTACAACCTTAATTTAAAAATAAAATAAATAATTTTTTGTTACCCACGGCTAACATAATTATTATCTATTAAAATTAAATAGAAGTTCATTGTATTCATTATTTAAATAATGCAATGGATTATCTACCCAAGTATGTAGTTAAAATAACTAAATATTGTTATGTTTATTAACAAGGTAAAACAACTTAATTATGCTTTCAAAAAAAAGAAGCTCCATCTGGAACCATTTTACAATAGTAGATCAAAAGTATGCTAAATGTAGTTATTGCCCGAACAAAATTAGTTATGGTGGTGGTTCAAGTGGCAATTTATTGAGACACATGAAAACTAAGCACATAACAGTACCACTTGATCGAACTGCACGCCATCATTCTTCAAATACCATGACTGAGCAAGAGCATATTGAGGAACATAATATAGATGAACCATCTCCTTCGGGAATGCCAGCATCAAATACTTCCACTCAAATTTTGACATCAATAACACAAACCAATATTAGACCCGTTCAGAGCTCCATAACTTCCTATGTACAAAAACCAGTATCCATTTCAAAATAAAAAAAAATAGATTCTCAAATAGCAAAATTAAACATTACCATCCTTTTAGTCTCGTTGAAGAAAAAGAATTCAAAAATTTAATACAGATGTTGGCACCTGGTTATGTTCTTACCAGTAGAAAAACTGTATCCAATAGCCTTTTGCCTCAGTTATATGAAAGTACAGTTGATACTATTAAAAACAAATTAAAAAATGTAACAGCAGTTTGCTTGACAACTGACGCTTGGACTTCAATTAATAATGAATCTTACGTAGCTATTACTGCCCATTAAATCGATGATGATACGAAGATGTCATCAATCCTGATTGGTTGTCAACATTTCACAGCCAGACACACAGCTGTTGAAATGTCTTCTCTCCTTATAGAGCAGGTGAATAAATGGGGATTAGTTAATAAAATAACTATGATTGTTAGTGATAATATGGTGGCAGCTGTTCGATTATGCCAGTGGAGGCATTTTCCATGTTTTGCTCATAGCATCAATTTAATAGTACAATCTGCGCTAGAGGAAGTGAAACCAATATTAGGTAAAGTAAAGGCCATTGTGAAATATTTCAAACGCAGTACTCACGCATTGTCTCGTCTAAATGATATTCAGAAACAAGGTGGTTATTCTGTTTTGAAGTTAAAGCAAAACTATCCTACCCGGTGGAATTCCACATTTGATATGAGTAGGAATAAAAAGAGAGTTCTGGAATCTCAACCTGCTGGCTCATCCCTATACCCGTCTGCTCAACCCACTACACCGTCTGCTCAACCCATGGGTTGAGCTAACTATCACGCACGTATACGATATGCCCCCGCCACCCCGCTCTTCCCTATACCCCCTGCACATCCCTATACATTGACGGCTGCTGAACCCACCATATATCACACACGTTAACGATGTACCCCCGCCACCTATGACCACCGCTCGACATTGCCGCCGCGCTTGGAAAATAATTTAAAAATTTATCCGTCAGACCGGGATTCGAACCCGGTTCCCTTGCATGATAAGCGACCACCGTACCACTGGGCCGCCTACCCGCATTTGTTTGAGAAGGTATATTCTATCTCATTTAACTGGCGTTTACGACGTCCGCTTACGTACGCGAAGTATAATTTCCCCCGCCACTATACCATACCAAGAGCCGCCGCGAACGCGCGCGCGAGCTATCCGGTGCGTTATCAGTTATCACAGTGACTTTAACACAAAATAATCTACTGGTATATTTTTAACAATAAACGTTCAACACGCTGATTACAATATTTTGAAAAATGACACACCCGACTGCATTTTTATGGTAAGTACCTATAGTTTTTTTTAACTATTTATAAATTATTATACTCTATTAAATTCTCTAATGTTAGGATGGGTGCACCAGATTATGTGCCCTCCGATGAAGATGAAGAAGATACCACATTATCAATAACTCGGACGCTGGATGAGCCTCTCACGATGGATGTTGTGGAAAAGGACTCACCCATAATATCATTAACTATGACGACGGAGACGGAACAATTGCGAGGTCTTGGGGAATTTTATAATGCATTAACAAAACGTTACACCCTAAATCACGAGCTTAATAAACATAACGATTCATTTTTTATTAACAATAGAATTATGAATCATGTGAATAATTTTACTTCAACTAACTATGCACATGAAAATTTATTATGGGAGGAGAGTACTAATTGCTCTCGTAATTTTACTGTTACACGTAATACGGTTACCAGAAAGTTGAGATTTAAACCTCTTCTTTTAGCTTCAGGGTCATATATGGTGTCAACCGAATTACCGATAATTAGAGCTAATTATTTCTGTTATACATACAGCGAGTTGTTATATATATTATATGTCGCGAACGGATACATGTCAATTGATCGAAAACAATCGATCGCACGAGAATTGCTCGAAAAGTTTTGATCGAAAAACAATTGCTCGCAAACGACAATTGATTGAAGAAGAATTGTTCGCAATAAACAACTTCATATTTCCACCGAGTCACATCGATAATATCTATATATAATTTATATCTTACATCGACATGTTACACTTTGTACTTAGATATAAAGATAATATTAAATTCAACCGGGATAGTAATTTTATATCATGGTGCATGCATCCGAGATTATTATTGTTTCAGTATTATAGTGTACCTACTTCAAATACGTTTGACTCGTTTAAAATTTTACCATCATGAGTTTAGTGTATGTAAACAGTGAAAAAAATAAAAGAATGTTAGAGTATAAAGGATTTTTACATACACAAGAAAAAATTTATAATGAAAAAGTGTATTGGAAATGCTCCGAAAGCAAAAAAAATAAATGCAAAGGTCGAGTTCATGTTGTTAACGAAAATATCGTGAAGTTCATCAAACATAATAATCATGTACCAAATGCATCTAAAATTGAGGTTAAGAAGGCTGTATCACATTTAAAGGAGATTTCATCCCAATCTACACTTAGTACTCATGCTGTTATTGGAGAAATTTCATCGCAGGTATTATAAAATATTATATTTTATACCTAATATAAATATAAAACAATAAAATGTTTTTTTATAATTAGTTACCAAGTGCTCTAGCTGCAGATATGCCAAATGTACAAACGTTAAAAAGAACAATTCAACGTCTTTGTCAAAGAGAAGAAGCTTCTCCACCTAACCCAAATAATTTTGATTTTATTATTCCTGAGCAGTATCGAAATACAAGTGACGGTGAGTTGTTTTTACATTATGACAGCGGCATAAATCTCCCGCATATTTTGATTTATACAACCCAAAAAAATTTGGATTTTATGGAGAATTGTGAACATTGGTTCTGTGATGGAACGTAAATTCATGGTATATGTTATTCAAATGTGGTTCCCAGTGTTTATGTATTGCTACCTGATAAAAAAGAAGATACCTATCGTCGAACGTTTGATGCTTTAAAGTCATTAAAACCAAATTTAAGTGTATGTGGCATCATGTTCAGGAATTTGGCTTGCAAAAAAAATACAGTGAAGACCCTGAATTTGCATTGCAATTAAGAATGTTACCAGCTTTAGCATTTGTTCCTAAGGATGATGTAATAAGTTCATATAGTGTTTTAATTGAAAGTAATTATTATACAGAAAATGAAGAAATATTAGAACAATTTTTAGACTATTTCGAAAATACCTGGTTAGGCAAATTAGACAGACGAAGAAGACGAAAACAACCGAAAATTGAAATTGAAATGTGGAACTGTTTTTTAATAATAGAACAAGATATAGCAACAACAAATAATTCCATTGAAGGTTGGCATAACTGTTTTACGTCAATCTTAAGTGGAAAACATCCATCAATATGGCGTTTTATTGAAGCTTTAAAGAAAGAAGAAAGCATAAATCGACTTAAAATTGAGCAATATATATGTGGCATAGAACCTCAGAAAAAAAAAATACCAAGATAGGGCTAAGAGAATTAAAAAAATTTGCACTGATTATAATGATTTATTTATCCTAGATTATCTACGTGGAATAGCCTATAATTTTCAACTGCAAATTTAATTTTTAATTTTACGTTTTTTTAGCAATTTTAATTGACTTCATTTTTTAAATGCAATTTAAATAATAATAGGTACTACCAATTTTTTATTTATACTAGTTAATTATTTAGCAATTTTGTTTGATATTATTTTAAAATATAAGATAATATAATATAATATAATATAATATAATTTTTAGTTTTGCGAGCAATTATTTCTCTTCGATCAATTGTCGTTTACGAGCAATTGTATTTCGATCAAAAGTTTTCGAGCAATTGTCATGCGATCAACTGTTTTCGATCAATTGACGGGATACCGTCGCGAACCTGTTTAGTGGAAACTCGAGCCTGATTTTAGCATCATATCTAGAAACAAAATATACGTCACCGAGTTTGACGAGTACTCAGTACATACCACGAAATATTTTTGTAATAGGATTACTAACCGCTGTCAATCATTTTTCAATTTCACGAATTCGGATAAAATTATGTTAAGTTCTAAAAAACATTTCTTTACACAGCATGTATATGATGACCCTACCTTACTACGTTATATACGACAATTTAAAAAATGTGACATTTGTGGGCGTCGCTTGCAGGTATGGACTAGTATGGACGAGTTAGTAAAAATCCATGGTTCTAGATATTATGAAGATGTATTAGGTACAGCAGAATGTAGGGAAGTAGCTGTTAAAATATTTAATATAGTACAAAATTTGTAGATAAATTAACGATGTATATACAGGTACTAATAAACGCTTCTTTACAACTATTCACCGCGTTATTTTTTTTTTCCCCTTACGTATAACATTCTTCTTTCTACAATATTTGCACCTATTTATAATATATACAGGTATATATATATATATATATATATTTTATACACCACCTTCATATAGCTAACTATATCTCGTTAAACCATATGATGTACACCGCACAACTGATACTACATGCTACAAGTTTGTTGAGCAGAGGCTGGAAATCTTCCTCCGCATATAACTATATATATATAGTGATAATGTAAAAATTTGCCTGATTTTGATAGTTCATAGACAATGCTCTTCATAGTTATAGAAATATACTTTTTCTCATCAAAAACATATATTACGAACTAGAATTAGTTGTACTCCAAACGTCGTATCACTAGCTCATAACACGCAATAATCAACGCGATACTTTGCATACTATGGACGCCGAATCGAGTAAGTATCATTGCCTAATATTTATATCCAGGATTTTTATTTTTATTTTTATTTTTTAAAGTCTTAGAAGTAATCGAGAGGTATTTTCATACCTCTCTAGAGGGTCTAATGACGTCTCATTGCGAGGCGTCATTAGACAATTACCGTCATTTCGAATGGAATTGTGAAGCATGCAGGGAAAAAAAAAATTTTTCATAAAAAATACCATATGTCCACGAGCGTAGAATGGCGCGAATTTGTATACGCGAAATTTAATTTAAATATAAACCCAACAATAATTAAAAATTTAAGTTTTATTAAGCCGGAGTTAAAAATATATTCGCATCGTGACTTCGAATATTTTTTCCGGAAAATATTTCAGCAAACCTACCAATTAGTAGACAACCATGGTCACATTATCTGGAATGATAATTTGTTATCCGGGAGTGTGATGTGGTTACAAGATACAAGTAGGGATTATTGGGAGGAGTTATTTCTAAAAATAAGACGATGTGTAAATTATGATATTAGAAATTTAGAATTAAGGAGTTCAGGTATAGCGAAAAATTATTGGGATCTTTTATTGTATAGAATTTTTCAAAAAAAAATGGGGCCTAGCATATATATTATTAATAATTTAGAATATTTAGATTTAGCCTTAAGTGATACTGTACATAATAATCATAATCGTAGTACTCGTATTCATAGTTATAATAATAATAGTGTATATAATTTAAATGTAGAATTAGGTAATTTAAGTTTAGATAGATTAATGTTGTTAAGGGATTGGACTTTCGGGTATGGTTTATTGGAGAATTGGAATATTGGTTAAATGTTACTTAGCTTTATTCTATAAATATTTATGTATTGGTTGTAAACTAAAGATTGTATTATTTAATTTTAGTGTTAGCCTACTGTATAATTTAATTATTTTACGAATATATATTTTTATGTATAGTTTGTAAATATATTTCCCTGCATGCGAATAGTATATCTCATCTAGAAAAGGTAACCATACAGTCTTCCGTTATACGTTTGAGCCCGATTTCATAGTTTTTTTTAACAGATGGTTTGAACACTATACCATACGGATATTAGTACACCCGATATATAGGACAATCCGACGACCCTGTATTTTGTCACGTGACGGGGATCAGTGGTGGCGGCGACGGCGGCGGTAGGGATTTTTGAATGAATGAATAGTCACTATTCATTACTGTCCGCAGTTGGTGATATAGTGCTCTATTATATTAACCTACATCTTGTTCGCTCTGCGCTAATACTACGCACGTAATTATTATATAACGTATTAATTTTTTCTTATCCGTTTATTTTAAAATGTTTAAATGCGAGCAATGTTCTTTGGGATTCGTATACGAGTCAAATCTGATCGCTCACCGAAAAACACAATCGAAATTGTTCAAATGCAGCAAATGTGCTTCGGAATTTACAGCGAAACGTAATCTGACAAGACACGAAAAAACGCACGAGGGTATTCGTATACCGTGTATTAGGTGCGGCATTACGTTCAGTTACAAGACCAGCCTCAACAAACATTTGAAAAATGCTCATGGTATGTACCTATTTTCTATATTCACTTTAAATATTTATTTTATTTTAATTTTGTCATCAGGTATAGTACAGATCGCGCCACACGTTTTTGTATCAGACTTGCAACCTGGTCACGAATTAAGATATACAGGATACGGAACGGAAAGGTCTTATCAATATTTTTCCGAGGCCGCCCGCTTCTCACTGTTTGGCATGACAACTAGCGCTTAAAGACAATATTGGTATAAAAATCAACTAAAACCATGTAAATTAATTTAGTTCAAAATGTAAAACACCAATAGCAATAGCCACTGTAGTAACCCGTCGCTCTCACTTGATTGGTTACTGCACACTTCTTTAACGACGAATGCACGTACACGTCGTCGCAATGAATCGGAGGATGGTCGTTGAAGTGAAGGTAGAGTAAGAATAGTTTAACACAAAATGTAGTTAATTATAGATATAATGTTTATTAACACGAAACTAATAATATAGTTAATTTTAGTAATTTAAAATTTGTCGACAGAATAATAATTCTACCGGAGAATAGTTGTAATTGAAATTATACTTGATGTGGACGGCAATGCGGCTGTTTCTAGTCCGCGACCCACACAAGTATTGTAAAGCACTGGTAATTACTTCTATGTCTGAAAAGTCTGTGAAACAGGGCCCCTATTTATATGAGACATGCCCGGGATTTAGGAAAGGATGATTGACGTCATAGGAATGGCGTGATGCGTAGTCGATCCGTATTAACCAATGAGGCGGCAGCCTCAGTGGCCTATTTTGGTGGCGTGATGTTGTTCAGGCCACCTAACCTTTGGAACGCCGTTTTTGTGTAAAAACGTCGGTTTACTACACCACCAAGTTAATACAAATTACAATTATAATTAATAATACTAATACAGTATTGTCTTGAATATAATTTTATGATACTTATACCTGAAAGTGTGATACAAAAATTGAAATTTGAAGCTTTGAAGCATACAACAAGAAAACAAAGCATAATATTTTAAAAATGTTACTGTTATTATTTTAAACAAATTTTATTTACATAAAATTATAATATTTTAATAAGATATAACTTAAAAAATTAGGTAGCAGATAATTTTGATAATTTCTTTTTTACCTTATTTTCACTTTTTTTTCTTTATTATTCATAAATGTAAACTTCAAAAATATATTCAACAATTTCAGTTTTGTGTTCATTGCATGGAAAAGGTATTATATAATTATTATTAAAAAAATGCTCTACTGTGTCATCAAAAACGTTAGGACTCTTAGCATGGATTTCAAATGAAGTCTCGATCAGTCTAATTATCATGAAAAAGTTTCCATCTGGGTAAGTTAAAAATCCTTTAGATTTGAGGTGAATCAATTGAGCTTCATTTAGATTACATGTTTTACCATCAATATTTCGTATTCCAGACAGGCATATTTCACATTTGGTTCTTTTAGATAATTTTCTGACCAAATATCTAAAAAAAGTACCTACATATAATATAATGTTTTATAAATTAAAAATATTGCAAGCAAAATTTCAGTTTCATTTTGGTACCCTGCCAAATAATATACTACACAATCAAACGTCCTATCATCTTTAAAATCTGTATCTCTGAATACATCATCCATATCCCATTTTCCCTCTTCAATAATTGCATCAATATGGTTTTTTAAATTAAGTATTTTTTTCTCTGGAACAAATGATTCGTCATTTTCCTTTATTGAATTTTTTAAATCTTGAACGGTTATTACTGGGATATAATCTGTATCTGAAATATCAAGTGGTGGACATTGTTTACTCATAATTCAATTATTTATTATTACCATCAGATATTCAGATATTAAAATTGTTTATGTTTACCTGATGAAATTGTGCAATTTCCACTCTTTGGTGGTTTTACTAATGAATAGATGGATAGTAATCTATAAAAATGAAGAAAGTTTGGTGTAGAAGGGTGATCATTAGGGCCTGAAGTTTGCCTAATAATTCCAAAAAATTTCTATAATGTAAAAGAAACAAAATGTAATGTATTTTATCGTGAAGTTTTTAATTATTAAGTAGCTTACTTCTAAAGAATCTTGATTTAGTTTTGAAGTTAGAACATATTTAAAATCACATTCTTTCAATAGATACATAACTAAATCTATAGTGGACTTTAAAGTTATCCTCAACGATTCAGCTGTATTTTTTGTTAGAAATTCTTTTTCATCAATTAATCCCTGTTCTACCATATGTTCCCACTGATCCAGCCATTGCAAACTTTGATTTAAAATCTTCAAAATTAAATTAATTCATAAAATGTTATTACATTTTGACTAACTAATTTTATTTTCTCATATACTTCAAAATCAAAGGTACAACATTTAAATAAGAGTAGTTACTACTTACTATTAATTCTAAAGTTTATAAAATGTAATAAACATTTAATATAAATATTTATAAGATTTATGTAGATTATTACAATACGTGATATTGTATAATTTCAAAATTCAAAATTTGAGGGAAATTAAATATTGACATAGTTTGTAAATAGTACACTAGATGGTGTTAGTGGCCCTGCCAAGAAGTGAGAAGGTTAGGGCCTCACTTATCACACGTTCGTTCGGTATCCTGTATATCTTAATTCGTGAACCTGGTAGCATATAAGCAAACCATACATTGCTAGAGACCCATAGGAAATAGAGAGCTCTCATTGGTCCTATTACATTTGTGATAACATGATAAAATGATTCAAATCACGTGTATAGGTATGTACATCAAGTCAATTTCTACAATTCATAATAATAATAAAATATAAGTTCTCCAGTTAAAATTCAAATCACGTGTATAGGTAATAATGGGTGTTATAACAATTACAGCAAATGGATTTTCTTTGAATAAAACAGTAATGCCATTTTTACTGTAAATTTCTTGTTTTTCTTTTAGTTTCTATATTAAAATTAAAATAATAAAGCTACATTAATATGTATGCTAGCCTTACTTATTTGTATTATCTGTATCTAATATTATGTAAGTATACTATTCTTTATTGCTATAATTGGATATTTACCTCAATTAATCCAACACCACTACGTGGACCTAAATTCAAACTTCTCCAAACATCATACCAATAACGAACCGTACGATAACATGTATTAATGCCTCCATTAGCAAAATGTTCCAACGTGAAATCCTCTTTTAACTCCAATAATTGTTCATGATATTTTTGTGATTCAGTTATACCCATTCCAGAATCAAAATACTCATGAAACATATTTTTTACATCATCACCAACCGGAATAAATCTGAGACTTTCAGCAGATTTTATAGTATGGGTATGATGATTATATATTTCTATACAACATACTAAACCTTTCTGTAATATAAATATTATATATTTATTGTAATGCTTATATTATTATTATTATTTATTTTCAATTATTAACTGTTGTTAATTTTTAAATCACATCATTAATTGGAAAATATTGTGGATGTATTGTTTACAATACTATACCAGAAACAGTGTAATACAATATAGACTGTATTATTTGTTAATAAATAATGAACAAAAATTAATTAATTTTATATATTTCTATGTAACATACTAAACCTTTCTGTAATATAAATATTAAATATCTATTTATTGTAAAGCTTGTATTATTATTGCTTATTACCAATTGTTAAGTACATATTAAGTGTTGTTAATTTTTAAATCACATCATTAAAGTAACTATATACAGTGTAATACAATAAAGACTGTATAATACAGTCTGTATTATTTGTTAGTAAATAATGAACACAAATTTAAAGTACCAATTTATTTTTATCAGTCAGACATAACATAAATTGTTTATATTTTAAAATCTTAGAAATGTTATGGCCTTATTTTACTATGACTTGTCAATCAATCTGTAAAAATGTAGAATTCATATTTATTTCACAAATTTAACACATATTTGGAGTCTGCAAAAAAAAAAACTAATTGCGAAAATGAAAATGAAAATGAAAATAGTATCAGAATAATATATTACCATAGATGATCTGGACAAATTCACAAGCTAAACAAAAAGACAAAAAAATTAATTATGAGTTTAATTGAATTTATAAATACCTTAATAAATGGATCTTTCTTCCTTGTAGATACTGTGTCCAGTTTAATAACAGCCTTAACATTAGCTGGACATTCAGAATTTTTTGAACGGCCTTTTTGATTTTCAGATATATTAGGCTTCTGAAATCCACTATAACCGAGGGGGTGGGGCTTATCGTCTCATTTAGTATTGACAATATGCATTGTTATATTGATAATTAGTTTATCAATAATTATAAATAGAAAATTATCATAACAACAGTAGAATATCCTGTTGATTTGATAAGAATCTTGTCAAAAAGCAACAAGATTATATTGTCAAACAAATAAGAATTATTGTCAATATAACTAGAATAATTTTTAATTATCATCTTATCATAATTACAATTTCACATAGGTTGGTTTGACAAAAATCTTGTCGGCTAAATAGCAACAAGATAATTGTCAAACCAACCTAGTTTTTTTTTAATATGATCAGGATTTTTCTTTCAGTGTATTTTGTTTCTAGATATGATGCTAAAATCAGGCTCGAGTTTCCACTAAACAGGTTCGCGACATATAATATATATAACAACTCGCTGTATGTATAACAGAAATAATTAGCTCTAATTATCGGTAATTCGGTTGACACCATATATGACCCTGAAGCTAAAAGAAGAGGTTTAAATCTCAACTTTCTGGTAACCGTATTACGTGTAACAGTAAAATTACGAGAGCAATTAGTACTCTCCTCCCATAATAAATTTTCATGTGCATAGTTAGTTGAAGTAAAATTATTCACATGATTCATAATTCTATTGTTAATAAAAAATGAATCGTTATGTTTATTAAGCTCGTGATTTAGGGTGTAACGTTTTGTTAATGCATTATAAAATTCCCCAAGACCTCGCAATTGTTCCGTCTCCGTCGTCATAGTTAATGATATTATGGGTGAGTCCTTTTCCACAACATCCATCGTGAGAGGCTCATCCAGCGTCCGAGTTATTGATAATGTGGTATCTTCTTCATCTTCATCGGAGGGCACATAATCTGGTGCACCCATCCTAACATTAGAGAATTTAATAGAGTATAATAATTTATAAATAGTTAAAAAAAACTATAGGTACTTACCATAAAAATGCAGTCGGGTGTGTCATTTTTCAAAATATTGTAATCAGCGTGTTGAACGTTTATTGTTAAAAATATACCAGTAGATTATTTTGTGTTAAAGTCACTGTGATAACTGATAACGCACCGGATAGCTCGCGCGCGCGTTCGCGGCGGCTCTTGGTATGGTATAGTGGCGGGGGAAATTATACTTCGCGTACGTAAGCGGACGTCGTAAACGCCAGTTAAATGAGATAGAATATACCTTCTCAAACAAATGCGGGTAGGCGGCCCAGTGGTACGGTGGTCGCTTATCAGTTATCATGCAAGGGAACCGGGTTCGAATCCCGGTCTGACGGATAAATTTTTAAATTATTTTCCAAGCGCGGCGGCAATGTCGAGCGGTGGTCATAGGTGGCGGGGGTACATCGTTAACGTGTGTGATATATGGTGGGTTCAGCAGCCGTCAATGTATAGGGATGTGCAGGGGGTATAGGGAAGAGCGGAGTGGCGGGGGCATATGTTATACGTGCGTGATAGTTAGCTCAACCCATGGGTTGAGCAGAGAGCAACCATGGGTTGAGCAGACGGTGTAGTGGGTTGAGCAGACGGGTATAGGGATGAGCCAGCAGGTTGAGGTTCCAGAACTCTCTTCTTATTCCTACTGTTATGGTTGATAGAATTTTGAAAATAAAAGAGCCAGTTTTATTTACATTAGCCATTATTAATAATGATCTTAACACAATCACATTTGATGAGTGGAATGTCTTGAAAGTGCTTTGTCAATTATTAAAAATTTTCTATGATGTAACTAATGAAATAAGTTCAGAGAATTATGTATCTATATCAAAAGTTACGATATTTTCAAGGGCAATTGTGAACTATGTATCAGGGTACACTAATAACCGTACAATGCCAACTGAAATTTGTTCAGTGGCAAAAATTCTATCAGAGAAATTGCATTCAAGATTTGACCAGCTCGAAACTTATGAAGTTGTGATGCAATCGATATTATTAGATCCACGCTTCAAAAAACAAGGGTTTCCAAATAATGACAAGTACCAATCGGCATATCAATCGTTGTCAAGGAAAGTGCAAAATTTACCTATCGGACAAGATGCTCAAGAACCAGGAACAACAGTAGGTATTGGTCCACTTTCAGGACCGGAGACTATTTGGAAGGATTTTGATACCAGAGTTACTGCAGTAAGTGGTGGTTCGAATGTGACAGTAGCTGGTATCAGAGGCGTACCCAGGATTTTTTTATTGGGGGGGGGGTCCAAAATTTTTATTTTATCTGTTCTCTAATCATAATTATAGTTTAATTCATTACAAACATATTACTGTTAATAACTATAATATAGACTATAGTTACAATAGTCAATAGTTATACAAACACTCACAGCACATATACAGAAAGGTTTATAACAATAGGTAGGTACTATAATTTTAAATCAATTTTTATTTGGTAATAAAATGTTATAAAAATTACATTTTTTAACTTATAATTATTTTAAAATTTTAATCTCCTGTTTTTTTTTACAAGTTCCTCAATTATATCATCTGGTGTTAAGATTTCATTTCGATGAATATTAAGCATTGCAAGTCCATTTAGTCTGTCTTCCGATACAGTATTTCTGAGATATGTTTTAAGATTTCTTAATGAAGAGAAACTTCTCCCAGAAGTACATGTCGTGACTGGTAATATACATAATATTTTTATTAACTTGTATATATTTGGGAACAAGTCTTCATCACAAAATTGTAGAAATTGTATTACAGTTTTTGGCTTTTGATCTTCTTCAGTTCTTTTTAAGACATTTTTCCACATCTTAATTTCTGCCATTACAATATCAGGTTCACTTAAATTATCCGAATCTTTATAAAAATCTATCAATTGTAAAATGTCGTTATTATTATTGTCCAATTCATTTTTAAATAACATTTTAAAACCTTTTAAAACCAATTTGTGTTCAATAAAACGACTATTTATTTGATCTAAAAAGTAATCCAAAAATGGTATAAATATTGATATTTTGAAGTATTCTTCTGGAGATTTACTAATTATGTTACAGCGATTGATTTGACGCTTACAGGTCCTTGGAATACAAATTTGTATATCAAGACATTCAGATTTTTCTTCCAAGTTCTTAAATATAACTGAAAAGACTGCATCAGTATTTTGTCTCATTGTTTGTATCTCATTAGTTAAATCCTCAGCCAGATTAATTGCTTCAAGTAAATCAATGTTTTCTCTTTGTAATGATTTACATAACACATATGTATGCTTAAAAATTTCATCAATAACCATTAAACTGACATTGAATGTTGTATCACGAAGCGACAGAAGCAATTGTGATGCTTTTGTGGAAGTTTCTCTATCAACCCAACCACTCATTACTTCTAATGAACTAATTACAGCTGGTTGTAATTCTACAAATGTTCTGATAGAATTATGTTTTTCTACCCATCTTGTAGCACACATTTTTTTTAATTTTTCTTTTTTAGAATCAGGAATTTTACTTTTTACTTCATTTTGTAGTACACATTGTCTTTTTGGTGTATTCATAAAGTTATACACTGCTTCAATTGTGCCTATTGTATTTCTGATACTAGATAGTTCACAAGCACTACAAATAGCTAAATTTAAAACATGAGCACTACAATGAATATATACCGCTGTTTTATAATGTTTTTTTACTATAGCTTGGACACCATTAAACCGGCCACTCATTGCAGCTGCCCCATCATAACCCTGACCTCTTAGGTATTGTAAATCAATACCAAAGTTTTTCAAGCTGTCTAACAATGTATTTGCTAAATTTTCTCCTGAAGTGTTATGCAATGGAACAAAGTTTAAAAAATCTTCTTGTATTTCATCATTATAAATGTATCTAGCACAGATTGAAAATTGCTCTATTCCTCCAATATCAGCAGTTTCATCAGCAAGTACACAAAAACCTTTAGATAAATTAATTCTTTTTACTATCCTTTCGAGTATTAATTTGTTGCATGTATAAATGATTTCATTTTGGATTTTTGGGCTTAAGTATTGTGCATTGCGTTTACAACGTTCTCTTATAAGCTGTAAATCATAATTACCTAAAGATGCCATTTTTAGTCCATATCTTAATATAGCCCTAAAACTACCATCGTTTTCAATAGGTTCTTCCTCAATTGATAAAGGTCCAGAATCCTTATGCCCTCTTAATGCCAGTCCTTGGCGTCCACACACAAGTATACTTTCAATAACAGGTCTTATTAATTTCCTATTTTCAATCATTTCAGCAACAGCTACTTTATCTAACTGAGTATTTACTGGGACATACGATTTTTGGGACATTACTTTATAATTTTCAATGCATGCTTTGTGATAACAAGTTTCTTCGTGATAATTGAACTTCTCAATAGCATGTTTCCAATTTGAAAATTCTTTGGTGCATAAGCTTCCTAAACTTTGTTTTCCAATCCCTCCTTCTTTTTGAGAAAATATAACACAAAATTTGCAAAATGCTCCATTCAAAATTTTTGAGTAAGTAAGCCATTTCCATTTTTGTAACCAATTAAGTTGAAACTTAAGATTTTTTACTCCAAAAGTTTTTAAAGGAAAATTATAATTAGAATCAGGTACCCAAATTTTATTCATAAATTCAAGTTTTTCTTGTAAACTTAAGTCACTATTATTAACAAGTAAAGAAATGTCATTTACACTTGAAGTATCAATTAGTCGTTGAACATTTAACTCATTATTGCCAATACTGATTAAATTATTTACATCATTATTTCTTGAGCACTATAAATATAATATTATAAACATTTTAAAATTTTAATTTTAATTTTTGATAATTCTAAATTTACTAACCTGAGGATTATGAATATTTACATGAGCTATATCCATATGGGCTACAGCTTCATTAAGATCTTCACTTTTATTCTTAAAATAATCCAAAATTTTTGATTTTTTTTTTAAATTTTTTGTTTTGTCACTACCAGCATCTTTAAAGTAAACAGTATATGATATTAAAAAATCAATAACAATTAACTATTCAATAACTACCTATGTAGATCATTAATTTTTCAGTGATTATTTTTTTACTTTACCATTATATTAGATTACATTATTGTTTATTAGGTTAGAAGTATCCAATAAACAATAATTATTAATTTAGTTAAACTTACCTTCATCACTGAATAAAGAACTAGTTTCAGGTTCTGGCTCTTGACGCTTTGGAGTGTATAAGAATTTTTTTAATTTGCTTATAGCACTCATTTTAAATTATATAATAAAATTGTATATAATTCTATTTCAATTCCATTCAAAAATACACTAAATACATTAATCTCAAATATAACATTAAATGTTTAAATTTTATTATAAAAATTACTGTTGTGAAAATTCAATTGTACGATTACAATAATTCTGTGATAACACTGATAACACTTCGCGCCATAAATATTAATCTAATCAGTTCGTGGTATCAGCACACAATAAGACAATCAGTCGTACCTAGTCGTTGGTATAAATTAAACACGGTTTATACATTATAATATATTATAATCTATAGCCTTTGTATACTGAAGATAATGGGAAATATTAAAATACACTGTAATACTCTTATTATACGATTTACTATTAAACAATTGTGTAAATGTAGATATCTCAATGGGGGGGGGGGGGGTCCGGACCCGAAAACCCCCGCTTAGGTACGCCCCTGGCTGGTATATTAGAACTGGATCGATACATTGCTGAACCTTTATTAAAAAGAACGGAAGATCCATTAGTTTGGTGGAATGAACGCAAATTAATTTATCCAAAACTCTACCAATTAGTTTGTCGTAGGTTATGCGTTGTGGCCACATCAGTTCCATGCGAGCGCATTTTCTCCAAGGCTGGCATATTGTTGACGGAGATACGGTCAAGACTAACGACTGACAAAGTTGAGAAGTTGTTGTTTCTAAATCATAATTTAGATTAAAGTTATTTTTTTATTTATATTTTTATTTACAGTTGTTATAAATTAATGAGTACAACATGTAAAAAGAAAAATTTTATTTTATTAACAGGTTGTTCAAATTTTTTTATTGAAAATTTGTGATTTCGTATTTGTATATTTTGTGTCATTTGGTTGGTCTGCAACCTTACCTCTTCCCTCTGTGGTTATAAGTGTAACTAACAAGTAACAATATTAACAATTAATTAACATCTAACAGCATTACATAAAAAATAAAATATAATAAGTAATAACGTAACCTAAATTAGTAACTAGTAACTATAGTATAGTGATCAATAAAATAATATATACGTGATAATATCAGTATAATATATCACGATTTAAGATATCAGTCTGCAATAAATTGTAAAATATGTTGTAACTCGTTAGTGTGACCAACGTCCTTAACAGTTAACAGTGTGTTAAATAATAAAATAATAAATTCTATTCGACTCGGTCCGATCCGATTCAGTCTGAAAGAATAATTTCATTAAAAACCGTCAAACGAGTCGTTTGACCGAAGATCGATTTAACCGAAACACCGATTTGACCGAAAGACCGAATACTTTTTGGTACATCATTCGGTCGCGATACGGTCACTTGAATGATTCGTTCATTTTGATTCGGTCAGTCACGACCGACCCACCTCTAATAGATACTATAGAATCTACAGTTAGATGATATCTACAGTGTAGATGATGAAATGCCTGAAAGTAGCTATATGGATGAGAATGATTTAAATGAAAATAATCAAAAGTATAAAAATTCAAATATTGTACATTTTATTCGCCCTTCAAAAAATGACTCCATTGCTGTTAAAAATAATTTCTTCTCCAAGCATCCAATACAACCTATGATTCCAACTTCTAAAAGTAAACTTAATTTTAAAGAATTTATTATAAAGAGTTGCCAAATGGCGAAGTAGTTCAAAGAAAATGGATTTCATACTGTACAGACATGGAGTGTTTTTTTTGTTCAAATTGTATAGCTTATGGAAAGCCAGTTAATTATGGAGAAAAAGTATCAAAGTTCATAAGTGGGTATTAAGCTGGTATAAAAATGCAGAAATGCTTTTATCGTGATATAATAAGACATGAAAATTCAATATTCCATCAGAATTTTTCTTGTACTGCTGTTTGTTTTAAATTAAATAAAGATATTGAATGTATTATAAATCGTGATCTCCATGGCAAAAAAGTCTCAAGAAGTACAAAGTCGAAGAAAAGTGCTTGAACGACTAATAGATATTGTTATTTTTATTGGCCGTCAAGGTATCCCATATCGAGGTAAACATGAAGCAGCATATGCTTTAAGAAATGTCGAAGAAAACCATGGTAATTTTTTAGAACTAGTTATGTTAAATGCTAAATATGATACTATTTTAAATGAACATGTTAATAAGTCAATTACACTTAGTGTAAAAGCTAATTCTAAAAAAGGTCGTGAATCTTTGATTACATTTATGTCCAAACATTTTATAAATAATAACATAATTATACTAATTGGAGCAGCAATTCAAGGTACAATTGTTAGAGAAATTAAAGAATGTACTAAGTTTAGTATAATGATTGATAGCACCCAGGATGTAAGTGTTATGGATCAATTAGCAATATGCGTCTGGTATATTTCCCATGGTGTCGTGCAAGAACAATTACTAAGTCTGGTTGTTTGCATTGACTCTAGTGGTATTGGCCTTTTTAACTTATTAAAAGAAGAATTACAAAAACTAGGGTTAAAGTTAAATGACATTGTTGCATGTTCATTCGATTGTGCTGCCAACATGAAAAGTATTTATAAAGGTTTACAAGCCCATTTAAAAAGTGTAAATTCAAACATTGTGTATACACACTGTAATGTTTTGAATTTAGTAATGAGTGAATGTTGTACTAATATTAATTAGGCTGAAGACTTATTTGGTTTGGTAGAGCAATCTGATATTTTTTTTATCAGATTCCCACAAACGAATGGAAACTTTGACATCTATTACTAGTGTAAAACATACTGGTCATGATAAACTCTATAAACTCCAAAAAATTGGAGCAACTCGTTGGTGGAGTAAAGATAAAGCTTTATCTTCAGTTATGGATTTACAACTGAATATCTTCAAAACCGATAAAGAAGTTGAAAACACCAAATTTGCAACTTAATTAACATTTTTAACCACAGTTTGTCATGGAAATTTTAATACACAATCCAAATTCATTGCTAAATCATTAATTAGTTATTGGTCAAGATTTGAAATAATATGTATATCTAATTTATTGCTTGATATTTATTCAGCCACAACTCCAGTATCTATTTATCTACAAACTAAAACTAAAAATTATTTACAAGCATGGAATATGATAGCTACTTAAAAAAAACAAATTGAGAAAAAAAGAACTGATGAATATGTATTGAATTTATATAAAAAATGTCAACATTTTTGTAAAAAAATAAATAATCATTTTTGTGAAGAAGATTTAATTAATATTGAGGTAGATTTTCCTAGAAAACGTATTTCAAAAAAAAAAAAAACTATCTGGAGAAAAAAGTTGTGATGAATCAAGAACTATATCTCCATATAATAAATTTAAATGTGATACTTTTCTAATTAATATCTATTATATTGTTTTGTGTCCATCATTCCTCACTTTGAAGAGTTCCTCCGCACGACCGAAGTACCGAACACCCGGTACACAATACAGTCGAAAGTACGGTAATATTGTATTGGGAAATAATATTATGATAATGAATAAAAATAGATTCTAACAAATGCTAAAATGCATAATGCATTGGTATTTGGTTCATTCCACTTCCACTAAACGGTCTTATCTAGTATCTACTAATCACTAACCGTCTTATAATAATACTAGATTCTGGCGTTTGTCATCCGCCGAAAGACTGTGTGGGCGGTGGTACATCTTTGTCGTTTCGCTTCGGTCTGGGTTTTTTGATCCGGCCTGACCCCCGGACCCCCCAGTGTTACTTGTAAGTGAGTATCTATTTTGGAGACATAGTCGAATTATAATGAAGGTGATAGGTTGGTAGTCGGAGGTGACTTGGTGATAGGAATTTGTGATAAGACTCTCTGGCTCTTTGGCGGTCGCGTTTCGAAGGCGGGAAAGTTTAAAAGTCGAGTTTTAATGTCTACAAATCTCCCATGGTCCATGAAAGTCAGCAATACAATGATACGATTCCCCAACGTATATGTCCCGGTGCTTTTCCGTAACTACTATGTGTAAATTTCCGTAACTACTATGTGTAAATATGTGTAAATGTAAAAAATGTAAAGCCGAAAACCGTGTTGGAGTGTCTAGCAAGTCAGTAACCTGAATTCTGAAGTGAAAATCGATTAACTTTGAAGTTGTCCACCTATGTGTGCAACAGAAAATGAGGTGGGCAAGTATTACAGACATTAAACGGCTATAGCCTATAAGTGAAACTCGACTACCATCTACCTATATGAATGACGAACAATCCGACTTTGTCGTAGTTCTACAACTTACTGTGGTCGTAGTAGAATGTTAATGATGTAGTCGAGTATGTGATAACGACAATTAATGGCCTATCCATTCTTTAATATCTATGTTTATGTATGGCTGATAATGATTAGTGATAGCGCTTGGTGGTTTGGCGGGAATATTTAAATTTTTGACCTTTCTGTGTCAGTGCTGTTTTCCGTTGCATGTCCGGTGCCTTTTTTGTTTGTGGAGCAAAATGTCAAGTTTAAAATCGTGTTGGAATGTCTAGCAAGTGGATGCCTCATGTAATATTCGATGTACGTTCATAGAAGACGCCCAGGTAGGTACTCCGAGGTCGTCGATCGCGTACAATTTTCAACGGTATATCAGGTATGTATTGCAGATAGGTACTGTAGTTTAAATGTCACAGTAATAGTTTAAATGTTACAGCCATCGTTAACAAATATAATATGGATCGTACGCGGTTATACCTTTCGTATACGTTAAAAAATTAGTATGTCTATACGTGTATTCATAAGTATGATATTGTTAACATAATAATTTCTGAAGGGAAAAATTATGTCAGCGTAAAAACGTATAATTCGGTCGAACGGTGTGTAATGACTAATGACCAATAATGATGATATCTAAGGCGCGTGTATCGTGACGGTCTCTGTTTGTCTACCTGTAGTCACTATCGATCTCTCTCACACGAAGCTTTCGCGTTATCGGGTAATTGTCGATACGACCGATGTCGCATCTAATTTAATGGAGTGATGGGAAATCCATTTTTTGCGGACAGGCTGTATGATCGGTGACAAACGTTGGACATATTTCATTTGACATTTGGACGCTGTTCGAGTAAGTAAACGTATTTAATTGCTTATTATATGTACCTTCTTATACTGGCCTTGTGTCCCGTTTTTTTTTCATGTTTGTTTAACTTGCTTGAGTAAAATGATTTATGCTCAAACACTTTTTAATACTTATAGAATATATTTAATTGTATTTCGATCAATATTTAAACACCCCTTTATTATACAATAATTTCGTTTAGTTGTTTATGATGCCTGAATGTATGGCTATCGGCACGTGTGCATTTGAATGAGTGTAAATCGTATTCCGTAGTAAATTTTAGTTGACCAGATTAAATAGTGCGCTGTTCGTAATTGGTTTTTATAAATATTTTAGGAAATTACCTGTGCATTATTATTTTATTTAGGAAATTATCTGTGCATTATTATTTTATATTTTACATTATATTTTACATTACACATACACATAGTTCGTTTAAAAATTCAGATGTCGTAAAAAATCGATCGAGAGGACACAGATTATGTTCTTATATTAGTTTTCAATCAATAATAATAATAGTTGAGTCCACTGTAAAATTAATATATAGCACACTATTGAAACCGTCGATCGATAATTAACTATATCCCACGTGTGTAAGACGGAGACAACATAATATTATGCGGGTATCCTCTTAACTGGACCACAGCTGTAGAATATTATGTGATTGAAAACTCAAGCTTTTGTTGAATTAACTTTACCTAATATTCTATGATTACTGTATGTCGTGTTATATTTGATTTGCGCGGGTGAAATATGATTTTCTTTTACTGTTTTTCTTTTAATAGTGTGCTATTTGTTGTAATTTTCGAGTGAATTTACCTATTAGGTATTATCGAATTGTCATGTGGTAAGAAAATTATCTGTGCATCATTGTCTTATATTTGTTATAACTGTGCTAACTCGCTTAAAATTTGTAATATCATAAATAGTCGATCTAGAGAACATAGATATTGTTGCGCACGTGTGTAAGACGGTAGTCAGGAAAAAAGCCACGGAAAAAAAATCCAAATTTTATAATAATTATAAATTAATAATTTTTAAATAATTTTTTTTTAAATGTTTAACACACATGTTTATTGTTTATACACAGCTAAGCCGCTAAGGTTATGTTATTATTTATTATTCAACATTAAAACGTTTTTAGTTATAAAATAGTAAAATAGTACAAAGTTTATATACAAAAATATGCTAGTAGTATGCAAAGTAGTGCTACTGCAGTTAAAAATTATGTATGCAAAAGTCACGTTATAATAATACACAAAAACATAAAGGTAATAGTCAAATAAAAAATTTTAAAAAAAATCAATAAAAACGTATTGTGTGTGCTACTGCTGTCAAAAATTCTGGTAAGCTTTTGTTTTCTTCTTTGATTTCAAACAGAGATTTTTCAATATTTTTTGGCTTTTTTCATATTGTGGTAAATTTCTTTTGTCACTTAATAATCCTAGAGTTTGCTGTGCCAACTTGGTTTCCTCTGAAGCAATTTCTAACCTAATTTTAGTTATTAACACCCAAATACTTGGATGCTTGTGGCCGACCAGTCTAGAAAAACGGTTATTCCAACCTTCGGTTTGGTTATTTGTACGATCACTATCTGCTAACGTCAAATTATGAGTGTTCCATTGTTCAGGAGGAAAAAGAGGTGGGCAATTTCTTTATTTTTTTGATGATCAATTGATTGATTTATTTCTTACACCTAGTTATTTTTAACGTATCTACTATGTACAGGGTGATTTTTTTTTTAAATGTAGGTACCTACATGCCGCACTGTTGCAGTATGAACTATAATTAATATTAAGTTATACTATACCTCAATAAACCTTGTTTTACTTTTTTTTTGATTATTATATACTTTGTACAGGGTGATTTTTTTCAAAAGTACATGTTGCAATATGAACCAATATTAAGTTATATTATTACATAGGTAGTATAAAATTTGAATTTAAATATTTTCCCACCAGAAAAGTAGAAGTTAAAAATATTAAATAAGTAAATTTATTAAATTTATAATAAAAATACACATTGTAAAATCAATACATTCATTACTATTATTTTCGTGGATTTTTTTTCCTTTGATTATTTTTCTTGTGGCTTTTTTTTCGGTGGCTTTTTTTTCCTACATTCGTGTAAGACGGAGACAATATAATATTATGCGGGTATCCACTTATCTGGACTACGTGCACGCGTCTGTAGAATATTATGTGTTTGAAAACTCAAGCTTTTGTTGAATTAACTTTACCTAATATTCTATGATTACTGTATGTCATGTGTTCTGATTAAGTTTTTGGCACATGACTAATTTTTTTAAAAGTAAATAATTGTGTTTGTTAGCGCACTACCAATATTCAATAACCGTGCCGTAACTTTTTTTAATTTGTTTTGTTTTTGAAATGTAGAATGAAATTCATACAAAATTTGAAAATGACATTTAGCGGTGCTGGTGTACGGGTGTTTAATGCACCCGTATACCAGCAAAGCGAACCAGTCAGAAATCCCCCTAACCACAACCGGTATAGGGGGATTAAGGCCGCGAATATAGGGCCGCGAAAAAAAATCAATAAAAGACGTGAGTAGATTTATACTAATTACTATTAAGTGCCATTACTAATAGGTGTATCGTCCATTTTATGTTCCAGGTTGTTATAGTTGTTCCCGATACGGGCACCTTGCCCGGGATTGTCTCGGTGAGTGTGTACATTTCATGTGTATTGTTAATCATTTGTTTTGATAATCATTATTTTTTCAGCCCCCCGTAAGCCAAACCGCGTGAGACATCCACCATCACCGTCAGCTCCAGATGACAAAATGGAGGTCGAGGAGCAGGTGGTGGTGGTGGAAGAGCTATCAAG